GAAGGAATTTAATTTTGGAGCAACCTAGTAGAAATGTCCTGTAGAATATGTACAACGTCTAGTAAGTGTTTATGATTGAAAAACTCTTTTTGAGTAGTACAATTGGAACTGATTTATTTTGATAGGACAACAATCTGTAAAAAAAGATGATGAAAACTTGGTTGAATCCAAGTCATTTTAGACTTGTCAGTTTTGCATTAATGTTCAATGCAAGATGTCAGCACTTGTGCCAATTTTGTTAAAAAGGAAGGGGCACATTAAGATAAATCGGTATTTTAAAAAACTGCAAGTCAAACAAAATTTGGTGGGGAACATGAAATTGTCAATAATTTTAAATCATTTTAGGGAAATTTGAAATTGGTGGTAAATGTAGACATCCTTACTATAATAGGCTTTTCTCTCTTTATTTTCTTCTAAGGATATTGACATTTATTCGGCTTAGAATAACAAGGCTAAATATTCAATGAGAGACTAACATTTTTGGTTTTGTCTTTATTGAAAACTAACCTTGCAACATATCAGCGTCGTAATACATTGGTGGAAAACCACTAATCGATAGATTTTTTTTCTTTTTTTAAATATGAATGCTCATTTTTGATACTCTCTATATGCGAACTTTTCTAAAGCTACTGTTGACAGATAAACCCTTTAATTTTATTTTATTAAAATTATGACAATAGCTTTTTACAAGTAAAATATTTTTTTTTTTTTTTTTTTTTTTAAATGACTGATTCTGTTTAAAAAGTACCTTTTTTTTTTTTTTTTTTTTTTTTTTTTTTAAATGTTAAAATTTTACAAGTTCGAAAACTAATCGTTTTTATTGTATAAATGTTTTGGTTCAGAGTTAACCAGTGCAAAACATTTATGCTTTTGTTCTTATTGCCTCGCTGATGGATTTGTGTGATTTAAGTTTTGCAGATTGCCAAAATAAATTCTTTCATAATTTTCATTTGCTTTTTTTTTTTTTCCTCATAGTCTCTGTGAGGGGTGGAAAGGAAAAAAAATGTTTGCTTTCTTTTCTGGATATTTTATAGTTTTTCATTAATTTATTTATTTCTGCATCTCCCATAGTGAAGTAACAGCTTTTAGGGGATTTCATTAAAAATCTTTTATAATTATTTTACTTCATACTTTTCTTATAGGCACCTACTATAAAGTGATAGTTACTATTGCATGCTTTTACTAATGCACTCAATCCTCAGTACATTTTAGTGTAATTTTTTTTTTTTTTTTTTTTTTTCAGACAAAGCTTACATGGGTTCCCCACTTCCTCTCCTTGATATTTTAAATGAATTCCATTAATGATCTGTTGCTTACTTGCATTATTCGGACTGTTATCCTCATGTTCATTGCCATATTCACAATGTTTCGGCTGTTGTATGCTCCGGCCTTCTTCAGGTGATTGGAATTTTGAATCAATCTCTATATTTTGAGCACCAGGGTAGATTGTTCTAGTTCCATGTGCCATGCCTCTTCTGGATGTCTCAGTTATTTCCCTTTAACTCAACTCTCCAAGTTTTTTGGTATTGAACTCAACTCTTTGGGTCTAGTCACTGGATCTAATCAACGTCTTTATCCACTCAGCCATGTGTCCTTGAGGACTGAATCAGCTGAAGAAGGCCGGAGCATACAATAGCCGAAACGTGAATATGGCAATGAAGATGAGGATAACAGTCCTAAACTTAGTAACTATCCATCTTGTAGTTTGTAGTGACTGGTGCTTTTCAATTTGTGGAGTTTGTCATTGCTCTAGCCTTTGTGACTTGATTATATCTTTCTATCTGAAAATTGTGTATGAAGTGAAATATTCCTCTGAAAGTATTATCGTCTTTTGCAGGAGTTAGCTCATTGACTGTCAACCACATGATAACATTTGAAGTCAGAGTTCATAATTGACCTATGATAGTTGATGGGCTACGAACAGATTGCCATTATGAGCAATCACAGTAGCCCAATGTCACGTCATTGATTCTCTCTGTTTATTTGCTGATGAAACTCTTAGGTTTTTGGTGAAAACATTGAGAGATGCCTTTTATTTCTGAATGTTCTGGCACTACACATTGACTAGTGATCAAAACAAATATTACTCTAAAAGTTCTCTCTCTGGTGAAGGTTATCCAAAAACTCCCAAGCGTAGCATATTCGGGACTTTGTTGAGTAAAGTATTGTCATATCAAAAGCTGGTACCCGTTTTTACCGAAGCTGTGTATTTCTAGTATGCTGCCTCACCAATATGTTCAAGTTGTTGACAATAAATACCTATGGTTAGGCTTTGTCTAATGTCTTCCATTGGCTGATATCTGTTATATTGAACCAAATGAAGTTGGTATGCATTTAATATGGGATGATCACTTTTTTTTTCTTTTTTTTTGGGATCTGTTGTTTAAGTTAACTCTTTTGCATCTCGAACAATTCCTTATTATTAAATGCTCACCCTTGTACCTGGCCCAAGAACTATTTAAAATAGAGGGTTCCTGAACGAGCTTGTTTTAAGGATGTATAAGGAGAGAGTAAAAGATACATTTAAGGATATTTAGAATGCTTAATGGTTGACCCTAAACTTGAAGTTAAGATTAATTGGGAAGCATCCACTAAGGAGTCTGTCCCTCAAAGTAGCAGTTCTTAGAAAGAAGCTGTCTGAGTAGAATTTTTTTCTTATTACAATACAAAGGGAATGAGGTTGACTTGACAATAAGTCTCTTACATTTCCAGTAGCCCCCTTGCATCTTAGTGGCATTTTCACCTTGCTTGGGGAGTGAATTAATAATAAAAAAGGAATGTGGAATAGGAAAGCTGAGTTCAAATTCAGTTTTGTTTCTGTTGTGTGTGTGTGTGTGCACATGCAAAAAGCATGTTTGGGTTAGGTTCGCCTATCATCTGGTTCGTACGCCTCCCCAGACTTTTGAACGGGAGTAGAGATTTATTCCTTGTTCTCTCTTTAGGATTGAGTTTCTGGTTCCTTATGAAGCCTTTTCATTCTCTTACACTTCCAGTAGCCCCCTTGTGTCTTAGTGGCATTTTTGCCTTGCTTGGGGGTTAATTAATAATAAAAAAAAAAGGAATAGGAAAGCTGAGTTCACATTCGGTTTTGTTTCATTCATTTCACACTAATATCTTTGGAAATGTGGATCCATTTTCAGTCAGCTATGGTTTAAATAGTAGGGTAGAATTGGGTCTCTCTTGCCTTGAGTGGTAGCCAGTCTAGAAGAAAAACTGAATTGAAACTGAAAATTTTATTGGAATATGTGCATATTGAACCCAGGTCAAAATCAGCAATTCTATTTTCCATTCGTCTATAAAAGACACTTTTGTAACACTTTCTGTGGCATGGTGGAAACTGATGTAACTATGGAAACATTTGCCATGGAAATATCAATGTTTGTGATGTTTCACTCATGGGAAAGAGGTCGTAGTATTGAAAATAATTCATTGACCATAAGATTGCCTAAATCTGATGAAAAGTGTTTTTTTTTTTTTTCTTGTTCAGTAGACTGTTGTAAATAATTAAAGATTGATATTGAATCTCAGAAACATTTTTTGGAAACAAAATTCCTTCCTTAGATTTCTCTAATTTGCTTGTTATATTTCTTGAATGTAATCCAATGTGCATTTCTTCCTAAATCTCTGTTGCTTTGATGAGGATCTTTTTGTTTTTTTATTTTTAAATGGTATCATCCCAAGAAAGGCAGTACAACCTCTAAAACACAAGGAGTTACAGGGTGTAGAAGAATTAGGAACAAAAACATTAGTAATGAGCAGAAATACAAAAGAGTAATCAGGAGGACAGTAGATAGCAATTGACATTACATTTAAATTTTTGCAGATTAAAGTTGGCTGGAAAGAATAGAGCCAGAAGGGAGTTCCACAAGTTCAAGAAAAGAAACTTCCCATAGAACTTATGACTACATCTACCCAGCTCAACTGTAAATTCATGAGATCTTGATGCCAGTCGAGTACTGCCCTTAAATTCATAAAGTCTAGGTACCATAGAGAAGAGCTCATTGAAACAATTAACATGAAAATATTGATAACTGAAGCTGAGCTGCCAGATCAGGACCAATAATATTGCTGATTCTTCTTTGGACCATATCAAGGATCTCCAGGGGCACCGAACCGAACCATATATGGCAGCAATATTCTAAGCATGAGTAAATAGTAGACTTATAGATATGCAAGATAAATTCCAGGGAGAAAAATTGTCTTGCCCAACACTGAATTGATTTTCTTAGCAGCTGATCTAACAATGGATTCAATATATTATTTATACTTCATATCAGCTGAGGACCTTAGCCTGAGAAGGTGCAATGAGTGACTTCTGAAGGTTTGTATCGACCATGCTGATGGAAGGCAGACCGAGGTCTCTCAGTTGATTAATGGAGAGAAATTTATTATTGAAGGTGTTAAAATTGACAAGCTATCTTTTGCCCCAATTAATGATGGTCTTGAGGTCATTTTGTACATCAGCTGCCATTTTGATCTTGTCGGACTGGTCAGCCTTACTATCGAGGCAGGGGTAAATTGTTGTCGTCAGCATAAATGCCAAGTTGAGAGGTGATGTCATTGGGAAGGTTAATGAAAATTTAAAATAACGTAGTCTGCTTCAGTACATGCCTTTATGATGACCCAAAACACTTAGGCTTTCATAGTGATGATTATTAAACAGTTCCCTTGTTAAACTAACTAAACCATTGCTTGATTAATGTTGTCACTCTATCCACATGTTTTTTTTTTTTTTTTGTCTTATCAACCTTTTGCAGCTTATTTAAAGCCAGAATATATTTTGAGATTGTAAGAATTTTTTGGAGATAATGTTTATTTACGTTCTCTTCTATTTAAGTTCTGCTATTTAACCCATAGCTGGAGAGAGAAGACACGGACTCAAATTTTTTCCCAAGGGTATTTGTATGTAAGTGAAAATCAATAATCTCACTGAAATTTGAACTTGGCTCTCTGATTTTCAATTCTAAGCCATTGTCCATCACACCACCAACACATCCAAGCTTACAACACCTTGTGTTCCCAAGCGGTTACCCATCTAAGTACTGACCAGGCTTGACGTTGCTTAATTTCGGTGACCATATGAAAACTGGTGTTTCAATGTGATAATAGCCGTAAGCTTTATGAATTTCATAGAGCACACAGTGGTAATATCACATTGAACTGTCTGCCATGAGATCGAACATTACGATAAAATTGCAACATCATGAACATGTTTTCAGTTTATTCAATCTTAGAAGAAATATTGCCGAATTATAGTAAATAATTGTCATATAGGAAGAAAATGAGTAACTACCGACACCAAAGTTCGAACGTAACACTGGGGTTATGAATATATGTTTTCTGCCAGATGTATGAATAGCGGTGTCAGGCTACTGACTGCAGTGATTATTGAGTGGAACTATCCAGTCGAATTAGTGTGAATTATTGTGCGTTGATGACTTGTGTTTTGATTTAGGATTTACTGGACGTTAAGCCGAGCCGCGCTACTAACAAGGAATTCACTGAAATGGTTATCTTTGGTTGACTTTTACTTCTTTGTTCTTGTTAAGTATTTATTTTTATTTTTCTCGTGTTCTTTCATACGGATCAACTCCCTTGCGTCTTAATGGCTTTGTTGGTTTGCTTCGGGTGAAATTATTAAAAAATACAAAAACATGAGTGCCTGTAATCTTGCTGCGAATGAACGATTTCCATTCCTGAGGGGCCATATTTTCTCTGGTCTGTGTTCTGGTTGCTGTACAGTCTGCCACTGTTACCCTTACGCCCACCAAGATCAACACATTGTATATACGGTGTGGTCGTCCAGGATTTCGTGTAGGAATATTTATGTGACCACTGTTGTCGACATCAGCACACCACTAATGTATCCAGTCCAATATCAGCAGCAACTACAAACGAGCATTCAGCTTCTTAAAGTAGAAATCTCATCTCATCTCATCTCATACGGTCCTAATTATACAAAAGAAACATGTAACATAGCGTCAGTGATATTCTCTCACAAGATGAGTAATGACTGAAAATTTTACACTATATACTATACCTTAGTATGCATATACTGTACTCGGATCAACTTTGTATTTTCAGTGTGTGTGTGTGTGTGTGTGCACATGCGAAAAGCATGTTAGGTTCGCCTATCATCTGGTTCATACTCCTCCCCGGTCTTTTGAACAGGAGTAGAGGTTTATTCCTTGTTCCCTGTTTAGGATTGGGTTTCTGGTTTATTATCAATTCTTTTCCTTCTCTTACAATTCCAGTAGCTCCCTTGCGTCTTAGTGACATTTTCACCTTTCTTGGGAGTTAATTAATAATGAAAAATAGAATGTGGAATAGAAAAGCCGAGTTCAAATTCGGTTTTGTTTCATTCATTTCATGCTAATAACTTTGAAAGGCCGTGGATCCATTTTCAGTCATGGTTTAAATAGTAGAGTGGAGTGGGTCTGTATTGCCTTGAGTGGTAGCCAGTCTAGAAGGAAAACTCTGAATTGAAGACTGAAAATTTTATTGGAATATGCGCATACTGTATCCAGGTCAAAATTAGCAATTTTGTTTTCCATTCGTGTATGAAAGACACTTTTGTAACCCTTTCATTAGTCTGTCTATATTTCTGAGATGACGTATTTTAATTATTCATTGTCCTCATCTTTGTTGCCATATTCACTATATTTTGTTTCGCCCATCAAGGCCCTTCCGATTATCTCTGTATCAGTTAACTCAACTCTAGTCATTGAACTCACAACTTGCTGGGTCAGGTGATTTGATTTCTTTACTCGGCCATGTGTCCTTGAGGACATCAGTGTATGAATTCTGGTGAGTTATAAACCTCATGTTTCAGTAACCACTTTTTTTTTTTTTTTTTTTTTTTACCAGAGCTTATATTACAATTTTTTGTTGTTTTTCTCTACCTTTCCGTAATACTGGTTGCCATATTATATTCATGTCTATGCTTGGCCGGTTCAGGAGATTTTTGTGGCTTAGTATATGCGCCATTTTGTATTTTTCAGTGATGTTCTCTGTCTGTTATTTCGACTTCATCCCTCAGGGGACGGTGATCTTCCTTTTCCCTCCATATCTGGCCAGCCACGCCTCATTTTTCTATTTCCTCTCGTGTTACGGTTTTACAGTGCTTCTGCAGTCTTAAGAGAGTTGACAGAAATAACTGATAATGACATATTCGGCAGAGGCATGGCACTGAAACTGTTGGAGTAGAAGAGGCGATTGCATTTTTTTTTATTTTAACAGTAAACGGGTGGGACCTAGATGCCAATCTAGTAACACACTTAAATTCATGTTGTCGGGGCACCAGGAAAAAAAGCACGCCAGAACAGTTGCCATGAATATATTTTATAAGTATTTTATTACATTGCAGATTCTTCTTTGGATTTTGTCAAGAATCTTGAGATGAATAGCAAGAGCACCGGACCAGATATGGCTGCAGTATTCAATGCACAGGCGAATGATAGATTTGTAGATACGCAACGAGAAAAACCTTTTGGCACGACGCAGTGACCCAACTTTTCTTGCAGTAGATACAGCTATTGATTCGATTTAGTCGCTCCACTTCAAGCCATTTGAAAATATGAGGCCAAGAAGGCGCAATGTATTGCTCTCCATGAGTCTAGCATCAGCCAGGATAGTTTTCTTTAAAAAAATTAAAACCAGCAAAAGAAATTTAAAATAGGCATGTAAACAGTTTGTTCACATACCTTATTAAAAAAAAAAAAAGCCTTTTACTGTAAACTGTATGCGTAAGCATACAACGCGACCCTTGTCCAACCTTTCACTGACCGTCTAGTGACAACCATACGTTGGGTCCCGATTCTGGTTCACGTCCGATGTGCACCGAAAATTGGGAAAAGCCCACTACGTGTCCACAGGGTAATAAATATGAAAATTGCACCACGTTGAGAAGTGACAACTCACTTTTCAATATCATAAAATAAGTATTTTTATTCAGCTTCGCCTGCTCAGTGTAGGTGGGTACGTAAGTGACATCTGGGGACAACTTCTATCATATCAGTCTAACAGCTCAGCTCTTCCCCCTAACCAACTCTCCAACCATCTACACAGCCTGACGTGTAACAGGCAGCATCGGAACTACGCGAAGAGCAGCAAACCAGAATTAGCCTCCTCGATCCCAAGCATTACCGTTAATATAACCCAGTAACCGGAAATAATCAATGTCCGGCTTGATGTCGCTTGACCCCAATTCTTTCTTTCACTTATTTGTTCTTTTCTTCTTCCCTCGGTCAATGTGGATGCCGCTTAAAAGACTTCAAAGAACCCATCCGCTGAAATACTTGAAATCTAGATAAAATCACGTCTTCTTTTTCTCCACGGGTGACCCATACATAGCGTCACATTTGTAGATCTTGTAGGAAAAGCACGCATCTTATTATGTACAGGAAGACTCATGACTCAAATACTTTGGTAGACCACATACCATAATATGGTAAACGTCGAATACTAAGGTAATCCACATAGAACACTGGAATGTTATTTATAATCTGAATTTACTATACTCTATGAATAACTAAAAAAATCGCGACAGTGATATTCCCTAACAATCTACCCTATATACGGGACAGGCGTACCACCGGAAAAAATACGAGCAAGTGTTTAAATTTCACGCGATTGTCAGACTAATTCACTTTGCGGCCAACAGGTGACGTTGTGTGTAATACATGGTTTTTCCGAACTTGGCGATATTGCCAACAGGTGGGCGATTGTGGGTTCGGCAAATTTTTCGGAACCAAGGCTACCGGACCGAAAAGGCGGTGATGTACTTGAAACCTGTAGCGGATACATATTCTTTTGATGAGAAGTTATAAGCCCTGGTACATTTGACCCGCTAACAATTTTGGTGGATTTGTATAAATCCAAAGATATAGAATTTGAACAAAGAAATATTAAATCTATTGTCAGGACATTTTACAAAAGAAAAGATATGAAATGAAATGTGAAAGCAACTTTAAGTATTTGTAGTTGATTACTCACATTTTGTAGGAGCGAAATGAATACGTCTTTTCGCTATGAAAAGTCACCGAGAAAGAGAGTGATTTTTTCGAATCTCGCGTCTCCTGTAAATTGTCAAGGGACGATAATTCCCAAATTTCGCCGCAGTGAGTTTTTATTAATCCAAGACTGAAGAAGATTCTCTTATGAAAATATGTCTCTTCGCCATGAAAAGTCACCGAGAAAGCGAGTCTTTCGAATCTCGCGCCATCTGTAAACCATCGGTTGGGGGGGGGTGATAATTCCCAAATTTCGCCGCAGTGAGTTTTTATTAATCCAACAACACTCCCCAAGACTGAAGAAGATTCTCTCATGAAAATATGTCTCTTCGCTATGAAAAGTCACCGAGAAAGAGAGTGAGTCTTTCGAATCTCGCGCCGCCTGTAAACCATCGGGGAGGAGGTGATAATTACCAAATTTCGCCGCAGTGAGTTTTTATTAATCCAACAACGCTCCCCTCCCTCAGATTGAAGAAGATTCTCTTATGAAATATGATTTGTTGTGTATGTCGTGGTTAATGTACAGTGCGACCGTGTTTTGTTGTTGGAGTTATATAAAGTCGATCGTAACCATTTTTCATGTCACATAAGAAAGTCGAATGTCCGAAAGTGATAGGTAAACTTTCAAGTTGCAGTGAAGTATCTTCCTTGATTTGTAAAAGGGTAGTCTTTATTTTTGTTCGTCTGCGGGAGTATAAACACAGGAGGTTTCAGCTACAAGACGTAGCTGAAACCGCCCGTGTTTATATGAAAGTAGAGGAAAATGCATCTGCAACAAGATTTTCTTCACCTTTTATATACCTGTAGGTCTGAAGTAAATTGTGAAATGTAAACGAGACGTCTTGTTTCACGTGGCGAATATTTGTTAGGTTTGCTGTAGAAGGCATGTGAGTGGCTTATTGTCAGTAAATACCGTGAATTCGCGTCCTTCTAAAATAGAACGGAAATGTCGAATAGCTAAATAGATAGCGAGAAGTTCTATTGAAAATGTGCTGTATTTCATCTGTGATGAATTTAGCTTGAGAGAAAAGAAGGATATAGGTTTGTTTTCCCCGTTTCTTTTATTGCTGTAAAACGACTCCAACAGCGTTCGATGAGGCATCTGTTGTTAAACTTAGCATTATGTTTTCATCATCACTTAGGTAATTCAGTTTTACGAAGTTCACCAAAGCTTTCTTAGCTTCGTAAAAAGCGTCTAAAGCAGGACCTGGAAGCAAAACTTGGATTTTTTTTCTCTGAGTGCGTTTTTCAGTATGTCTGCCAGCACTGAGCTGCTCCGTGATCTCTGTCCTTCTTTACGGCAGCGAATGTTGGACGGCCTCCTCAAAGATGAAGAAGAGACTCTAGGCAGCGGAGATGTGGTTCTACAGAAGGATGCTAAGGATACCATGAACCGGGCGTGTGAGCAACGATGAGGTTTTGGAAAGGATGAAAACAAGGAGGAAGCTTATACTTAACATCAAGAAGAGGTAGCTGAAAATTCTGGAATACTTAATGAGAAAAGAGGGCCAGGAGAATCTGATACTCAAAGGTCTAATAGAGAGAAAGAGAGACAAAGGAAACAACGCATGACATACCCATCGAACGTAAGCAAGTGGATAACAGAACAAGGCCTGGGGGAAGTAGCAAAGGGACAAAACTTATTGAGTGCTACAAGTAATATGGGGAAGTGGTGAGCTATGATCGCCCACGTTCTGAACTCGATATTAATATATTTCTTATATTCAGTAATCCTCTTAAATCGGTGTTAATATATTGCTTATATTCAGTAATCCACCCTAACTCTGCGTTAATATAATTCTTTTATTCAGCAATCCGTCTTAACACGACGTTATTATGTTTCTTATATACAGTAATCCGTCTTAAAATGACGTTAATATATTTCTTTTATTCAGTAATCCGTCTTAACACGACGTTAATAAATTTCATATATTCAGTAATCCGTCTTAAAACGACGTTAATATATTTCTTATATTCAGCAATCCGTCTTAAAACGACGTTAATATATTTCTTATATTCAGTAATTCCTCTGAACTCATCGTTAATACATTTCTTATATTCAGTAATCTTCGTATTAATTCTTTTCATCATAGGATTACTTTTATTTTTAAAATTACTTTCACGCTACCCGTCACCCCCGGAAAAAAAAACAACAAAATAATAGTTTATCTCCTGAAAGAACAATGATTCTCATATTTTGTGTAGAGAGCCGGTAAAAATTATATTTATATTACAATAATAACAAATATCCCTAAAGTAATGATGTGTAGTCAGGACCAAATAATAATAACTCCCTTCATCCATTCTGTTCAAATTCGGAGGACTGAGGAAGAAGAAGGAAAAAAATTCGACTGCCTTTGTGAAACTGTTTTTTTTTTTTTAGACGAATGGATAAGCTCATACCTTCACAGAAATTGTCTGGTGAGTCAAGAAGGAAAGAAAGTAGCGAGCCTATGTGAAATTCTTTTTATTATATATATAAAATGAGGAGAAATTGAATTAATGAGAAGATTGTCTGAAGTCATGTGAAAGGTTTCGTTTCAGTTCCTTGCGACCAGCGTTGCAGTACTCGCCAGTGTAAAATTACTCGCCAATTATATTATCGGCCTCTAACCAGATCGAAATACATCGAAGAATTTTCTCTCTATAATCCAAGAAAGCGAAGTATTTCAAACTGTTTCTCTTTGTCTACATTTGAACGTATGCAAACCATATATACTTTCGGTGAGCAACGGGCACTCTTACCTTTGTCTTAAACATGTTTGTAAATAGATATTTAATCTGTTGTATTAATATTTCCTCTTCATGACAATACATTAAAACTACAGACTTTAAGAATTCTGATTTATTTTCCTGATACGAGCTACTGACATCGTACAAATTGTAAATAAATTCCTTATCTTGTTTTTAAAATTTTTTGTGCGTTTCCTCGTCATTATCATCCTACGTTAATCTTTTTGATGCGCGTAAAACAAATGTTCATTTTAACATCTAAGTCCCACGCCGCTATAGATGGAATGAAAAAAGCCTCCACCCCCCAACACCGCTCACGTCACCAAAAAGAAAAAAAAAGCTCACAAAAGTTCGTTAAACTCCTGATCGGATCAATCTACATCAACAGAGCTTGTTACACGGATGAAACTTTACCCCCTCCTATTCTCATGACGATTGCTGAAGAATTGTTCATGCGTAACTGAAAATTTATTCTTTCTTAAGATCAAATTTATTCTTTCTTAAGATCTAAACAGGAAACAAAGGATAAACCTTTACTCCTGTTTAAAAGAGAGAGGAGGAGTGTGAACCCGACATGACTTTTTTGCATTTATAGGAATATCATGGTCTCGGCGTCTATACCTATGTTTTAATGTGATGTTGGGTCCAATTTTTTTCACTGAAAATCTCCAAGAAGAAGTCTAAATTGGTTAACTGTAAAATTTAAGTTCTTGTAAAGTCTGGCTTTTTCAATTCAGACCAGAGTTTCTAAACCCCAATTTCTTAATTAGAAATATAAAAGTTCCATAAGTAAGCCGAAAATCATTCATTCGGAACTGAAAAAACCCACAAATGTTCGCATAGATCTATTGTGCGAATCCACGGCGTTCTTTACGTTCCGCCATTTTTTTCTCCATTTTTTCCTTTTCTCGTATGGTTATAAGTTTTTTTTCTGTTTTTTTTTATGATTATTCCACCTAAATACTTTTACTTTCTTTTATTTGATTTCATTCCTAACTGCATTAGTAAGGTATCATCGTCACAATATATATAAATAAAATTCCAATGCTTCTAAAATTTAAAAATTGCAATTTATTTACAATGTTAGTTACAATGTATCAAGCATGGCACATAAATGAACTGAATTCACAATTTAAAGAAGAAAACAAATTATCGGCATAATGATTTAGAACAGTGCTTCTCAACCTTTTTTAGTCATTGGACCATATTTTTCGTCAAAATATTCAAATGGACCACTACTAATTTTACTTTGACGCTGTTCAGTTTTCACACTAAAATACTCAATGAAAAGACAAATTAGTCTATTTACACTTTATTGTAGTAAACAAATACTATATATAATATAAATATTTGATATGAATAAAAACTTTATAGTATATATAAAATTTTATATATATATATATATATATATATATATATATAGTGTATATTTAGGCAGCAATTTTTCATTAATGCATGTTTCATTAAATAATATAGACACGTTTTGTTTATTTATTTGAAGTTCCTTTCATATCGTCTGATAAGCTTAATAACATTATCATTGAAAGAAGAAAGACCATATTGATACATGTTTAAATCCAATCTAAGCTTTCGACTTACATAAGCCATTATCAAAGATGACAATTACTTTTCAATACATCAACCCATACACGGACAAACAATAACGATAGTCTGTTTTTGTTGCATGAAAAATTTCAAAGCAACGACTAACTCGTGTATACGAGACGCGGAAGCGAAAATCGCATCGCAGCTCGTGACGTCACACACGACAACGCGAGAGTGAAAACGAGAAGTATTAAGTATGGGAAGCCGTTTGTTTAAACTTAATATATATATATATATATATATATATATATATATATATATATACACGTACGTTGTGGCCTTGTTGGGACCAGAATAAAGACACAAGAGTGAATTTGGGTTAACAAATATATTAACGAAAATCAGTAATACAATAGTATACAAACGAGCAAGAATGTTAAATCCGAACTGCCAGAACTGACTGTTGGGAAAAAAACTATACTTTTGACAAAAGCGGTACCTGTTTTTATTTGTAACTTGGAAGAGTCCATCCGTGTATGGGTAATTCACCATAACAATATATAATAAATATATATGATAAAAAAATAAAATAAATATAGCACTTTATAATCCCTACGTAATTTCGAAATTTTTAAATTATATTTTTAATTCTTCAAAGTATGAATAATTTAGATCCATTTTTGTGAAATGTCTACAATTTTTTTTATGGCTACGAATTCATTATGGACCACTACAAATGCTATGTGAGCCATCTGGACCACTTTGAGAAACTCTGATTTAGAGCATTTATTTTTAGAACCACTGATTTAGAGCATCTGGTTTTAGATGTTGGTGAATCTTGATCTTTTACTTATTTCAATTCCTTTTTTGTGTAAAGAGTGTTATTTAGCGTAGACTTATGTATATAAGTTGGTGTTTTTGGGTTGAGTGTCTACGTGCTGTTGCAAAGTGATGTATAAGTTTTCAGGATAGATAAACACGAAATGTTTCTGAATTCATATGAATCAATAGGGATTTATTGAAATTTCTATTTTAGGTCTTTTTTTTTTCTTTTTCTGTCTTGACCCCAAATTTTGAATTTTATTTTTGAATCTTATTTTTCGCAGATTTTTATTTTTGAATCTTATTCGAAGAATTTTATTTTTGAATCTTATTTTTTGCAGATTTTTTATTTTTGAATCTTATTCGAAGAATTTTATTTTTGAATTGTATTTTTCGCAGATGTATTATCTTTTCGTACGGCATTTTGACACGCATCCTTCTCATTTGATTTTAATTACAAAATTTTGAATATTACGACACTTACTTTTATTCTGTCATTCGGGAATATTCCCATTCATTTTTCTTCTACTGTTTGTAGAGCCTTAGTAATTCAAGCATTTAGTTGTCATCTTTCATAAAATATATATCTTCCTTTGTGAACCATTATTTTCCTTTCAGACGTTCTCTTGTTTCCCTTGATTTTTTTTTTCCCTTTTCCTTAAGGCTTGTAGGGATGAAAAGGCTGTTTATCTCCCTTTGGTTGAGACGACCTCACGAGAGTCACATGACGGCCGGTCAATTATATAGTGCCCACTCCAGTTGCTATTTAGCACACGGGAGAAGTAAGACATGTCCGTCTATGCCAGTTGTTACGTTGCCCGCGGAGAAGATGTATGTCACGTGCCCACAGCGGTAGGGTATGCAGAGATAACTACATAGTCTCACCTGTCACACCACCAGCCTTCCCGTTTTCCCATTAGGAAATATTACAAATAAACCCCCCTCTCTTTTCAAACTTTTCACACTGCTTGTTGTATACATGTGTTATAGTTCCTTTGTGTGGAACAAATTTGTAATAAGTATGTATATATCGATATAAAAAAATGAGGAAACAATTCATATTTGTCATTCCTTTATTTCAGTTCCTCCCGTGTATAAGGTGTTACTATATTATGGATAAAATAATGCCTATAACGGGGAAATGCAAACTGGAAATATTCTTTCTTGCGTAACACCCCCCCCATTAGGCTTTACTTTTTGTTATCCTCTTTCTTGTATCTTTCTCTTTCGTTCTCTCTTGACGTTTTTTTACAGACTTTGTTTTTTTTCCTTCATCTCCGTTCTTTTTTTCTTTCTGCTGTGGATTCCGGGTTGAAATCCGGTACGAATAAATAACAAACGCCAAGAATGAATATATGAAAATTATGTATTAATGTAATAATACAAACTGGTAAAGCAGGTTAGTAGTTCCAGGAATACGGGTTAGTAGCAAAATATATATACAGTCTTTGGTATTGAAGTATCGCTGTATGACTTCTTACTGAGTCTACGTGCTCGCTTACTGTGACTCCTACAACGCTGTTACCTCACCCCTCACTCTTCCGGTTACCTACAACTTTTTACTCTGTCACTCTGGACTCGACACGACTCGACTCGACACGACTCGTCGGTTTTGCTCTCGTCTTACCCTCGTCTTCCTCTCAGGTCTTCCCTGTAGCAGTAGTGTATATATATATATATATATATATATATATATATATATATATATATACTGCGTGAGTCCATTTGTGTAAAAAGGGGTGGACCCCTCAACACTTTTATTTTTGCCTGTTTTTATAGACATGTTTTTCTTCTCACAGATTTTTTCAGTCGTTATTTCTTTCTTTCTTATCGCCTTTTCTTCTCACAGAATTCTTTCTTTCTTTCCTTCTTTCTTTTTTCTTTCTTTCTTTCTTTTCGCCTTATCTTCTCACAGATTTTTTCCTCCTTTCTTTTTGTCGTCTTTTCTTCCCACATAATTCTTTTTTCTTTCTTATCACAGAATTCTTTCTTTCCTTCTTTCTTTTTTCCTTCTTTCTTTCTTTTTTCTTTCTTTCTTTCTTTTCGCCTTATCTCCTCACAGATTTTTCCCTCCTTTCTTTATTGTCGCCTTTTCTTCCCACATAATTCTTCTTTCTTTCTTTCCTTTTCTTTCTTTCTTGTCGCCTTATCTTCTCACAGACTTTTCTCTCCTTTCTTTCCTGTCGTCTTTTCTTCTCACAGAATTCTTTCTTTCTTTCTTTCTTTCTTTCTTTCTTTCTATTTCATTGTTCCTCCCTTTCTCCTGCTTTGTTTTTACTTTTCTTTCTTCCTCTTCCCCTTTCTTTCTTTCTTTCTTTCTTTCTTTCTTTCTTTCTTTCTTATCACAGAATTCTTTCTTTCTTTTCGTTTTTTCTCCTCACAGAAGTTTTCCTTTCTTTTTTCTCACCTTTTCTTCTTACAGATTTTTCTTTCTTTTTGCTGTTTGTTCTTTTCTTTTTGCGTTTTCTGTCAGACTTTTTAAAAATTTTTTGCACATTTTCTTTCTTTGCTGTTTATAGGCATTTATTTTCCTGAGCCTCATTTTCCCAACATTTCCAATATTCGGACGCCACAGTGTGACGTAATTGTTAGTGAAGTTAGTCTGCTTAATCATTAATACTGAGTAATGAGTGTGATCCTCACTGGGTTTCTCTTTAAAAGATGCAACATGGAGAAGAAAGGCATGATCTGAAGTGTTTCTGTTTGATGATCGGCAGATAAAGTCTTCTAAGCGGCACCCACTTTACCGAAGGGAAGAACATAATTAAATACAAGCTTTCGCGCTCAAGTAACAACAAAGCCGGACTTTGATGATTTCCGCTGAATCAGAAGTGTTTCAATACCGACTGTGAAAACATATGAGATGCTTGTTTCAAAGGGAACTGTTTAGAAGCAGTAATTCGAGCTTTGGTTTTTTCATGCCTAGAAAAAGACACTTTACGAAATAACACAAGCATGCTCGCCTCAACTAAACCAAAGCTCATATTAATAAGCTAGAAACATTCTGGCAAAAGGTTTGATGGTCGGATGGAATCAAACTAGACCCTTTTGAGAGGAACAATACGTGGTATATCTCTTAAGCTCTTAATAGGGCCTTTGAAGAGAAGAATCTGTTACCAACCGTCAAACATGGCGGTGACAACATTATGATTCAAGGGTGCTTTGATGCGGCTGGAAGAGGCAAAATAGTACGCATTGATGGCACAATGGATTCTGCAAGATATCAAGCAATTATGAATGAAAGTGTCTTGTCCTCAATTCAAAAGTTGGATTTTGGTCGGGACTGGAACTTCCAACAGGACAATGATTTGAAGCAACGAAGTAAATCCATAAAAGAATTGGTTCGTAAAAAGAAATTTCAACTCTTCAACCTAGTCAAAGTCCTGATCTAAACCCAATTGAAAATCTGGGATTCAAATGAAAGAAGGCCCTGCATATAAGAAACCCAGTTAATATTGAGCAATTGTAGGAGTTTTACCGAGAAGAATGATCAAAACACCCTCCAGCCTCAGGATGGTCTTGCTCACATAGTCGATCTCACATCGACATTTATATTGATATATTACCAAACTTTGCTGATTGGCAGGCAAGACATCCTTACGGCAAAGAAGCGGGGAAGCCCCCCCTAGTTGTAAAAATACTCCGGACCATAACGGCATTGAAACACCATTTAGAAATTTTGTCAATATATGTTTAACTCCTAGGACCAATCCACGGGAGCCTCACATAAGCAGGGTACTTAGAAGGACCGTATTTCTTAACCTCATTGAACTTAACGATCTTTTGTTCAATGGTAGATGTACTAAGACATTCGGAGTAACCATTCATTAATAAAAGCTGCTTAATTTTTTTTTAAATCAACGTCAAGTCTGCACTCAGAATGCAACATCAGAGGAAGATGAGTAAGGTGTGGCACCCTGCATTATTAGAAAAAACTAAAAAGAAATATTCATAGAAATATGATTTTATTTTATTCGGTTTATTAACCAGTTGTTAGTTATTTAGACGAAGAATAATTGAGTTTTGAGAATAATTCTCTAATTGTATTTAGGTGACCCTAAGGGAAGAAGAAGGAAAAAGAAAAAAAAGGAAAAAAAAGGGAGGGAGAGATGGGTAATGCAAAAAGCCGGTCATAAGCGAAAACAGGTGTCAAGAGATATCTAGGCCAACGCGCCTGACCGAATTTCAAAACAATGGAAAATTTGGAAGAATAAGTTTAAAAGAGAATAATGAACGGACATGGTAAAAGTGGATGAACATACGTACGATTGATAAAAATATCGGTCAAAACATCTGGCCTACTTTTTTGTCCACGGAATGTAGAAGCTCATTATCAATTTGGAGAAATGGGATTTTTAGAACAATGGAAAACGAAATATTAATCGGAAAGGGGTGTCTTTGGAATGAGAAGGTGACCGCTGGAATTGTATACAGATCCTTGACCTGTTGAAAATTAGAACCCCCACGATGATGAAGTGGGGATATTTTCAATTCAGATAATTAAGATTTTAACTATCAGGCCTGAACGAAAATAAAGGAATGAAAACAATTGTTTTGGCTCACAGAAAGCGCCAGCGAGACGAGAAAAATTCTTCCTGAAGTCACATCTAATTAACGGCGGGCTGTTTTGACAAAGCCAAAAAGGTGAGAAAGGCCGAGATTGTCATTTTTTGCGTGCAAAAAAGGCCAAATTGGATTTTGTTTTTTTTAGCAAGGTGTTTCTTTCCCAGAACAAAGCCGGGATAGACCACGCCCGATTGGAGACGTCACGAAGGACGGGAGACGCCCAACCAGAATCTCATTAGCCGAAAGCGGTCACGTGATATGCGAGAAAGAGGAGAAAGGACGCTCGACCAGGACCCATTGGTCGAAAACGGTCACCTGACATACGAGAGACCGGGAGAGATGGGTATGCGCCTCCCCCCCAGAGGCACTGTGAGGAAGTAGGGGTGAAAATAAGAGCGATAATGGGAAATCAGAACTAATGCGACTTTTGGAATTATCAAGGAACCCTGACGCCGACAGACCCACCCCGGTTTTTGCGGCGTTAAAAAGCAGGACCCCAATCGACAGAAATCAATAAAAGCAGTTGGAGCGGACGGCGGGCCCTGTTCATTCGCCCTTTTGCGGGCAAGAAGGGTCGGTCCGTTTGGCCCAGACAGAGAGGTTGCAGTTCGAAGAGAAGAAAATTGCTCGAAAGCCGCCAGGCCAGAAGGCAAGAGAAGAGCTGCAGGCCAGACAAGCAGAAGACAGGCAGAGAGAAGAGCTGCAGGCCAGACCAGAAGAATTGCAGGCCAGACAGGCAGATGAGTTGCCCCGGAAGGAGAGAGAAGAGAAGCAGAGAGAAGAGTTCGGACCTTGGCGAGAAGAGTTGCAGGACGGAAGAAGAAGAAGTTACTTGCAGTTGCGTCTAGAAGAATTTGAAACCAGGCCAAGCCTGAGGGTGGAAATTCGTCCAACCCAAATCGAAGTGAAGAAATACGTCCAACTCAAGCCGAAGCGAATAAGCTCGTCCAACTCAAGCCGAAGAGAAGAATCAGCCGTGAACGACTGGTAGAGATTAGCGCCCAGTGTCGAAACCAAAACCACACTCCGACATACAAAATTCTAGAGAGTAGGCAACTCGAATCTTTAAGTTGTATGATAGAAGCTTGGTGCCACAGTCCACAAACGGGTCGGGAAGTAAGGAATAATTTTTATGTAACGAACATTAGATATAAAAGGTTGTTTACCCTTTTTTATCAGTAATTTTTTGCCTCGTGAGTTTTTCTTTTACTTGTATTGCCACCCCCGTCGAAACCCAGCTGGCATACGGCCCCAATCCTGTTTGATCCCGTCTGTCTAAGATCTAATCACAACGTGGGTAGGCAGACCGGAGATCAGTACAGTTACCCTAGTAACCAGGTGTTGGAAGCGAGTTGGGAACGGCGAGGCTGGTAATCATCTAACCAGAGGGTTGAAACGTCACACTTGGAGCAGCGAGGAGCGAACAGCTGACGCCGCGGCAAAAAAAACGTCACAGTTGGTGCCTGTCGAGATCGAACGACAAGATCGACGCTGCGGCCACAGGACGTCACGTCACAGTTGGATCCGCGAACGAGATCGAACGACAGATTCGACCCTGGACCAGGAGGGCGACGTCACAGTAGGTTTTATCTCAAAATTTCCCGGATTAATCTCCAAATTAGTCCCAAATTTTGAACAGTAGAACCCAGAAAAACTTGCTGAAGAGCAACAATGTGTAAGATGATATCACAAAGGTGTTCTAGCGACCAATACACCCAAGGGAAGCTCATTATTCTGACCATCTCCATCCTAATTTTTAATTTTCTTTTTTTTTTATGTTTATAGAAAAATTATTCGGACTTTGTCCTCATCTTTGTCGACATATGCCATCAACATTTCGGCCGTTGCAATACGCTTATTAATCTTCAGGTGGTTGGAATGAAATTGAACCCTTTATTTCGCTCAGAGTAGACCCAAGTTGGACGTGCCATGTTTAATGGATCTATCTTTTGTTATATCCTGTTAATTCCCTCTAAACTGCCGTAACCGGGTATCATCCCCATGAGGAAAATACAATACAAGGGACATGTGGAGTCTTTGTACATAATACCTCAGTGTATCATATTTACACTATTTCTATTGTTTGGTCTGTTGTCCTCATCTTCGTTGTCATATTCACGACGTTTGGGTCAGAATGCTTCGACCTCGAACACTTTATTTCGTCTACCGGGGGAAAATTGTTCTAGTTCCAGGTGCCATGCCTTTTCCGTCGAACATATAATTTTAAGTTATTTCTCTTTATTAACTCCGCCCCTCAAATTTTTGTTCACGTTCTGTAGGGAGGTATTGAACTCACAACGATTTGGTCAAGTCACAGGGTTTTAACCAACACTTTTATAGTGGCTAACCGGCTAATTAAACTTACATCAACTCAACCATGATTTTAAATATTATGATAATATGAATATGGTAAAAAGATAATAAATATTTAGAGCCGATCTCTTCTTCTACCTCGAAACCAGAATTTCATCGTAGTACGACATTGGCAGCTAGATCTCATTATTTTCTAAGTGTATACCTAAATTATATTCTAATGGTTTGTTCTGTTGTTCTTTTTAATTGGTCGGAACTCATATTTCTAAAACTGGCTTTTATGACAAAACATTCTTCAAAATTCAATCAACGTCAGTAATCACCTTCTTACTTGTGTAATCACTTCAAATTGAAAGTTAGAAGCGCACAATTTAAATAGAATAATAAGAAAGGCAGCAAGATCGTGTATCATTTTATCGTTAAAATGGCGAAATAAATTTCAGTTCAACAATAATTCTTCTGTCGCACTAGGGAACTTGTGGAACTCTCTTCCAAATTTGGCTTTAGATTGACAACTAAATTCTTCAAAGATTTAAATGCAACGTCAGTCGTCAACTTCAGTGCCTCTCTGAATCCAAGGGATGTTCTTTTTATTGAGCTTTT